CACGCACCCAGGGCCTCGCAGCAATCGCTGGCGTCCACGGGTGCCCCCGCCAGTCGCAGCCGCGTCAGTGAGGGTGCCAGCAGGAACGCAAGCCGCTCCACTGCAGCCGCGGTGAAATCGTGGGCTCCGGTGAGGTCCAGCGACAGGGACGCCACCGCTGCCGCACGGGGCTGCAGCCACGCGTGCACACGGCGGCTGCTCAGACGCGCCCGCACGCGCGACGAGCTAGCGCTGTGGTGCAGGCCACACCGTCCGGTGCTGCCGCTGCCCCCACTGCAAAGCACCGCCATTGAGCTGGCCGAGTTGGGCCGCTGCAGGGCCGTGTGCGGTGCAGCAGGTAAGCTCGGGGGCGAGCCGCTGCCCACCCACCCGCCACGCAGGGGCGAGGAGGCTGTCGCAGGGGAGCTGCCCAGCAGCGGGGACGAGCCGCCGGGCGGTGAAGCTGGCGTGCGGGGCGAAGGAGCAGGCGCGGCGCCGCAGCTGCCGCCGCAGCCGCTGGTGCCGGCGAGATCAACTGACACGCGCGATATGACGCCGTTGCGGCGTGTGTGCGTGCACTCGGCCTTGGCGTTCACAGTGATGTGGCGGAACAGTGGCCGCGGTGCACGCAGCAGCGACGCCCAGCGCTTGCAGACAAGCGGAAGCGCGGTGCGCAGCCATATGAAGGAGCGGTCGTCCAGCAGTGCCACGAAAAGCAGCCCCAGCACATCATCAGAGGCTCTTTCCATAGGCGCACACGCACAGGGCGGCGCTGCGTCCACGCCCGCCGCTCGGCCTGCGCAGCCTTTACACGTGTGTTTGTGCTGCCGCCTCAGGCCAGCGCGGGCAGCCCTTGAAAGGCTCTTGTCGCTGGGACACTGCTGATGCTGCGGCGCTTGCTGGTCGGGCGAAACCGACCGCTGCAGCCGGTGTACAGTGCGCAAACTGCGTTCACCTCCGCGTGGAGTATATAGAAAAGTTACAGTGATAACCACGCGCTTTCCAGTTCGGCTTATGATACCATACTGCAAGGCTGGGCTGATCAGAAAAAAGCCCCAGCAACAAAGTCGCGCTTAGACTAAAATGTCAGCTACGGCAATCGGTTTGTTCAACACAAGTTGAACGCGACGCGCAAGTGAGGCTACCTTTAGTATCGATCAACGCGTTCGACGCGCAGCTGGGCGCCCTCTACTCATCTACACCTCAGCAGTGTAGAGCTGCGGGATCAACTCGTGATTTGGACAGTATCAACCGTCCGCTGGCTTAGCGAGGGCCCACGGGCTCTGCATCACCGCCGGAGTGCCGGCGGCCGTCGACAGCGTCAGCGGCCGCCGCGCTTGCGCGTGCTCGGTTGCAATGGCAGCGGGGGAAGCTTTGTTTAAGCCATTCAGGGCTTTGGGCTACATCACAGACGATGTCCCCTTCGCCGTTCAGCGCCGTGGGAAGGAGGCGTATGTGACCGTCAGCGTCGGGCAGACGTGGCAGGCAAGCGGCTTGGGCTTTAACTTGCGCGCCTGCGAGGTTGTGCAATGCGCTACCCCAGCTGTTCTGGCAGTCAGCAGTGATAAGCCAGGCCATGTGTAGCACCACAACATGCCTGGAGTCTGGCTTGTGTATGTTTGCTCTTCTGGATGGCTTGGGCCGCCCCTGACTGGGACGTTGCTGCCGGACCTCCCCCACCCCGATTGGGCAGGTGTACAACACCGCCAAGCTGACATTAGTGATGGTGGGGCCTCAACTGCAGCGTGCAGTGACAGCCCTGGCTGTGAAAGGCGACCTTACATTTGCAGCAGCCGGCACCACCATCCAGGAGTGCAGGCGAATGCACAAGTGAGCGCGCTGACAGCCGCAGAGGGCGATGGTCGGCCTGCTTTGCCAGTGGTGGAGAGCGGTGCTCTAGCAGCGTTTGCAGCTGTCTGCTGGCAGCTGTCCTCTTTGCTGCGCCTGGGCTGCTGCGCGTTGGTGCGCTGCCCACCAGCGGTCGCTATACTGAAGTCCTCGGTTCTGTCCCTCCCCTCCAGGGTGGGGGAGTACCGCGGCCACGGCGCCCCCGTGCGCCAGATGCTGGTGCTGGGGGACGTGCTGCTAAGCCTGGGGGCAGACCGCCGCCTGCTGGTGTGGCGCATCGGGAAGCACGACTCGCCAGAGGTGAGCTGGGGCGCGAGGTGGCTGCTTTTGTTGAGGGAGCAGCCGACCCACGTGCGCTGCAGCACCAGCTGTTGAGGTAGCAGCTTGTTGCTTGGCATCCCAGGAGACGGGTCAAGGCGGCGTACCGCGCCTCGCTGGCGTACGCGGCACCTGTGCTCTGGTTTTGGGGGTCCACTGTGCCAATGCACTTCTCACCGTCGCGTGCATTTGTTTGAACAGGCATGCTGTGTGTGCACGCATGCGCGTGCACACACACACACACACACACACACACACACACACACGCGCGCGCGCGCGCGCCCGGGGAGCGCACGCGCGCCCGGGGAGCGCAATGCACACACACACACACACACACACACACACACACACACACACACACACACACACACACACGCGCGCGCGCGCGCCCGGGGAGCGCACGCGCGCCCGGGGAGCGCACGCGCGCACGCATGCACACACACACACAGACACACACACACACACACACACTCATACATACACGTGTTTGCGCATGCACACATATGCGCAGTTGTACGCACGCACACACTCACACGCTTGCTGTTTCGTTCTCCCACGAATGCGTACATGCATTACTCACATTCATGTAAACACGCATTGCCTTGACAGGTGACCATCGACTTTGAGGATGGCTTTGTGCCTGTCTGCCTGGCGCACCCTGACACGTACCTCAACAAGGTGGTGGTGGGGGGCGAGGACGGCCGCCTGCAGCTGTGGAACTTTGTCACGGCCACTAGGCTGCACACCTTCCCCGGCTGGTGAGTTGTAGTGGGTAGTGGGGAGCGGCCCAACAGGCTGCAGGCGTGCATCACTCAAGCAGGAAGGGGCTCTGGGGGGGCCGTGCCTTGCAGAGGACAACAAACATCGCACGGCGCTTGGCCCTGTTTGCCACCAACGTTGTCTGCGATTATAAACAGTGTGTGACAGTCACAGAACATTGTGTAAGCTGCTGCGCATCAGACACAACTGCAATTTTGCCCTGCCCCGCGCACTGACAACAGGGGCTCCCCAGTGCGCTGCCTGCAGCCGTCGCCTGCGCTTGATGTGGTGGGCGTCGGCCTGGCCGACGGCCGCGCTGTGCTGCACAACCTGCGTTTTGACGAGACAGTCGTGGCCTTTGATAATGCTGCTGGCGCGGGAACGGCCGACGAGCGCTTTGGTCCAAGGAGCAGCGCCAGCGCAGCGGCAGCTGTGGGCCAAGCGGGGCGGGCTGTGACGTGCCTCTCGTTCCGCACCGGCCCCGGGGTGCCCCTAATGGCGGCAGGCGGCGGCGCCGGCGTGCTGAGCGTGTGGAACCTGGAGGAACGGCGCCTGCACGGCTTGCTGCGCGACGCCCACGATGCGCCGCTGCTGTCGCTGCACTTCTTCCCTGGGGAGCCCCTGCTCATGAGCAGCGCCGCCGACAACAGCATCAAGCAGTGGGCCTTTGACGGCGCAGATGCTGCCGCACGCCTGCTGCGCTTCCGCAGCGGCCACGCGGCGCCGCCGAGCGTGGTGGTGCACTACGCGGAAGGCCTGCGGCTGCTGAGCGCCGGTGCTGACCGCGCGCTGCGCGTGTTCAGCTCCATCCAGGACCAGCAGAGCCGCGAGCTCAGCCAGGGCCACGCCGCGCGGCGCGCCAAGCGGCTGAGGCTGCGCGAGGAGGAGGTCCGCCTGGGCCGCATCGCAGCCCTGGCGGCGCAGGAGGCGCGAGAGAGGGACTGGGCCAACGTCGTCACCGCGCACGAGGGCGACGCCACGGCGTACACCTGGCGCCTCGCACACTTCACACTCGGGGAGGCGCGCCTCGTGCCGCCGCCCGCAGAGCTCGGCGGCCGCCCCGCGGCGCCCGTCACCGCCGTCGCCGCCAGCCCCTGCGGCAACTTTGGCGTCGTGGGGAGCGCCGCCGGCCGCGTGGACCGATACAACATGCAGAGCGGGCTGCACCGCGGCGCATTCTCCAGGCGCGCGCCTCGCGCCACGGGCGGCGCTGGTGCTGCGCCGGCGGCGCTGCTTCCCGCGCACGACGGCGCAGTGGCGGGCGTGGCGGTGGACGGCTGCAACCGGCTGCTGGTGACGCTGGGCGCGTCCGATGGCGCGCTGCGTGTGTGGGACTTCAAGCGCCAGGCGCTGGTGGGGGAGGTGGCGCTGGGCTGCGGGGCCAGCCACCTGGCGCTGCACCCCGGCAGCGGGCTGGCGGCGGTGGCGTGTGCGGACCGCGTGATCCGGCTGTTTGACGTGGAGGCCGCCAGGCTGGTGCGGCGGTTTGCCGGGCACAGGTGCGGCGGCCTGGGCGGTGCCTGGGTGATGGCGGCCTTGTGATGCGCAAGCGAGGGTGCTCATCTGCCGTGCGGGCACACATTTCGTTCCTGTACCCACTTCCTGGCAAGGCAAGCGCTTATCTGTCAGGACGCAGTTTTTCAGCAATTGCCTCAGGTACTGCAGCTGACGTGGCCGCCGCAACGCGCGGCAGCGCGACCCTGGCGGACGGCCCCGGACCCACCCTGCGCTCTGTTGCCCCCCCCCCCCGCCCTACCACCCGTCCTCACAGGGACCGCATCACCAGCCTTGTGGTGAGCAGCGACTGCCGGTGGCTGCTCAGCTCGTCACTGGACGGCACCGTGCGCGTATGGGACATCCCGGCGGGCACCTGCCTGCAGGCCATGGCCATGGGCTCGCCCGTCACCTGCCTCAGCCTCAGCCCCGGCCGCGACCTGCTGGCCACCACGCACGCCCACAAGCGCGGGGTCTTCCTGTGGAGCAACCAGCTCATGTTTGGCGACGCCGCGGGGGTCGCGGTCAACAGCAACAGGCCGGTGCCAGTGGCGCTGCCCTCCATCGCCAGCGGGTCGGGGGCGGACGCGCCGCGGCTTGGGAAGGCCAACCGCGGCGGTGCCGTTGGCATGGCCATTGACGGGCTGGACGACGCGAGCAGTGACGAGTTTTTGGGCGGCGGCGATGGCAGTGATGACGACGAAAGCAGCAGCAGCGGTGGCGGCAGTGAGGACGAGGACAGCACGCAGCAACAGCAGCAGCGGAAGCTGGAGCGGCGCCAGAGAAAGCAGGAGCAAGCGGCTGCTGCGGCGGCAGCCGCGGCAAGCGCGGGCCCGGGGGCCCCGGCATACGAGCGGACCGGCGCCGCGGGCGGCGGCGCCCCGACGCCGCTGAGTCCCGAGCTGGTGACGCTGTCGCTGCTGCCGCGCGCGCAGTGGGAGACGCTGCTGCACCTGGACGCCATCAAGGCGCGCTCGCGCCCCACACAGCCGCCCAAGAAGCCCGAGGCTGCCCCCTTCTTCTTGCCCACGGTGCCAGGCCTCGAGGGCAACCCGGTGTTTGACGCAGCGGCAGCGGCAGCGGCAGCGGCGGCAGCAACAGGTGGCAGCGGCGCCCAGGAGGCTGCTGCCCCCACGGCCGGAGGCGTCCTGGCGGGGTGGGGGGATGGCGATGACAGCGGCAGCGGCGGCGAGGAAGGGGGTGAGGACGGCGGCGAGGGCGAAGCCGCAACTGCAGCAGTGCGGGCAGCACCGGGCTCGCGCGTGCTGCGCACCAAGCCGTCCGCCCAAGCGCAGCCGGTGGGCACGTTCCTGCGCCTGCTGCGCGCGGGCGGTGACGCAGGGGATTTTTCCTCGTTCATGGGCCATGTGCGCGGGCTGTCCCCCGCTGCGCTGGACCGTGAGCTGCGCGGCATGGTGGTGCTGGAGGGCGCGGGCCAGCGCGAGGTGGCGGACGTGGGCCTCCTGCTGGGCTGCCTGGAGGCTGAGGTGGCGGCGGCGCGCAACTACGAGTTCTGCCAGGCCCTGCTGCGGCACGTGCTTGCGGTGCGCGGGGTTGGGGGTCCGGGCACGCACTTGGGGTGCAGGGGCGGCCGCGGGCAGTGGTGGCTGGGGGTGACAGTAATGCCAGTACCGCACCCTTTTGACTGCCATTTTCGCTGTGTGTGTCTCAGCAACCAATCACTACATCGCTGTCCCCCACCCACATCTCCTGGCCCTGCCTTCTGC